CATCAGGTTTTTGTAAGACAAAGTGGTTCACTAAACATCCTGCAAAAGATACAGCCTTCCTTAGGCTTTCCTTCTCCACATAGAACAAGCAAATCAGGCAAAAACAAAGCCAATACAACCTAAACAAATTTACCCTGATTTCTAAAACCATTGTAGCAACATTGTTCAGAATTATATGTGGATTTTACACTTAAAAAGATGACATGGCTCTCCAATTTATAAAGTTGCAAATGACTTGAGGAAAGTTAGTATTCAAAACTAAATGATGCAGCAGATGCTTTTAGCATTAGTGTTCATCTACTTTTGCTTCAGAACTGAGACACAATTACTCTGCATTGCAACTCTCACCTTATTCAAAACATTCAAAAGAGTAGCACACTAAAAGAATAACCAAACCTAAATCATAAAAAGAATTGTGTTCAGACATTGCTTGGAATATCAGTTTCATCACTTCACCTGAACTGATCTGCAGCTTGTTCATTTGCTTGTTTTTTCATATGGAGTTTTTGTCTATAGTTTTCCAGTTTTTCTTCTGCTTTTCGTTTTTTTAATTCCTCATGACCAAGCCCACTTCTGCCTATGTAAGTTCAAAAGATGAATGTCAGCAGCTGGGAAGTTCTAATACTCAACTAAGTAAATCCAAAAGTATCACAAACCTGTTTTTATGTTCAGGGGAATAGGTTCAACAATGCCTTCTCCTAAGAGAGAAAATATAGGTCAATTTAAGAAATCAAGATTTTCTCAAACTGTGATTTGTGCGTTGTATTCAAGCAGGCAAGCTGCTTTGGCCATTAAATATATGCATTTTATTGTGATTTTGTTACTTGGAAGTTGAAAAATCCCAAACTAATATACACTTAGTGCATTACAAATGACCCAGCTGAACTGGACCTCCCTCTTTTTGGCTTGACTGCTGGATTGTTGTATACTTTTTTCAGGACAACTGAAGGAAAACAGCATTGACGTGACAGGCATAAGATGCCTGTGAGGAAGACTGCTTTGTTACAGCCTTATGTAGGATTTTTCTTCCTAGAATCTAATAACTCAACAATGATGAAGAATAAAAAGAATCTGTCTCGGCCAGTTCATTTGTGATTGTCTGTTAGAGACATGCTGAACTGGCATAGCAGTTACTGATGCCTTGTTTTACAGATTTTATTGCATCTATTAAGGCTTCCCAATGGCAGACCAGTGCACATTTCTTATTCAGAATCCATCTATAAATTCTAAGAGAGGAATTGACATTTTTTGGCATTGGCAAAACCATCAAAACATCCTCAATGCAGTTCCTGTAGGCATGCACATATAGAAGGGCATTTACTGCACTGCAAGTACTGCTCTTCCCTCACATCTCTTGATAGCCTGCATCATTTTAATTTCAGTTTTAGGGATTCACACTCACCTTCTGTCACGACACATTTACAGTTCAGTAATGCTACGGCTCTTGAGAGGCACTTATTTATAGAAGCATAGAATTTTAGGGGTTGGAATGGACCTTACAGATTATCTAGTCCCAACCCTCTGCCACCTCCCCACTAGACCAGGTTGCTCAAGGCTTCATCCAACCTGGCTTTGAACACTGTGCCAGGGCTGGGGCATGCACTACTTCTCTGGGCAACCTGTGCCAGGGTCTCACCACCCTCATAGTAAAAAAGCCTTTTCCTAATAGGCAGCCTAAATTTCCCTTCCTTCAATTTCAATCTATTACTCCTTGTCCCATCAGTGCAGCTCCTAACAAAGAGTCCCTTTCTGGCTCCCCTGTAGCCCCTTCAAATACTGAAAGGCTCCTATCAGGTCTCCACACAACCTTCTCTTCTCCAGGCTGAACAACTCCAACTTCCTCAGCCTGTCTTCACAGGGGAGGTGATTATTGGCCTTGTCTACAAACGAAATGACAGCTGCAGTCTGTAAAACGTAAAGGCATAGCTAAATATTGGCACATACTTACCGCTTTTGCCAAGGGCCTGGCCACTTTTGTAGCCCATCTTCTGGAGCAAAGCAAAGCCTTTGTTCTCGTTGCCCAACGCACTTTTCAATACCAAGTCACGTCTCTCCTTTTCCTCTTCTTTTATACTCTTCTGCCTGTTCTTCTCATTGGCTTCTTTTTGCTTTTCCTCCTTCTGAATAGCTTCCTTCACCCTCCTCACCATGGGCAAGCCCGGCCTTACATCCTGTCTGGGAGTTAGTAATTCCACCACGTATTAATACTTCTTTTGCAACGCGTTTACAGTCACTTGAGAGGGAGAAAATAAAGAAGAAAGCCACCTACTTACTGAATAAACAAATCAGACATGTAGTCTTCCTCTTCATCTCCCTCCATGCTCAGCACGCCCGCCCTGTGCCGAACGAGGGTTCGGCTACGGACAGCGTCAGCGCGCGGCGCGGCGCAGTGTATTTCCTCGCAGCGCG